GGCCTGCCTTTTGGACGCCCGAAATGGGTACGGAAAGAATTGGTACAATGCCCAACAACAAATGTTGTCCCGAACCAAAAGCGGCCGCTGTTGGGCCGGCGGCCTTCTGTCTCGAACGGACACAGGCCGCGGCGGCGTGGACAGCGAGCCCTGTTCAAAGTGAGCAAGAACTGCTTTTGAGCATCGTACCCATTCTTTCCGTGCCCATCTCGCTCGTGCAAATTGGTAGACTGCCCATATTGGCCGGCCTGTCTGATGCGCCGTGCAGTCGCGGAACGTGTGCGTCAAGGCTGGGCCGTGGGGCCGCCCCGTCTAGCGACTGGGGGCTCGCCCTGCCCAGTGGGCCAGGGGTCCAAAAGTGAGGTCCTCCTCCACCTCCTCCTCCTCCACCTCCTCCTCCTCCACCTTCTCCTCCTCCATCTCCTCCTCCTCCTCCTCCTCCCTCCTCCTCCTCCTCCACCTCCTCCTCCTCCACCTCCTCCTCCTCCTCCGCGATCCGGAGCTTTCCTGCCAGGACTGCGCTGGGGCAGCTTCGCCTGGCGCCTTGCAGTCTGCAGTTCTTGAGCGACCAGGCCTTGGCCGCAGTCGCCGCTTTGTTTATGCAGTGCGAGTTGCTTTTAATGTGGCCGTCGGCGCGGGTGGCCACTGAGCTTGTGAGGCTGCCGAAGCCCGATAAGCCAGGTGAGCACCGCCTGATCGCGCTCCTGAATACTCTCATTCGGGTGTGGGGGCGAGTGAGGCGGGGGCTGTCGGTGGGATGGGGAAACGGGCATCGCAGCGACCTCCTGTGGGGAGCAGGCGTGGGTCGCAGCAGCGTGGATTGTGCTTTTTCCCACAACCTCGAAGCGGAGATTGCTAGGAATACACGTTTGCATTGTGTCTCGGTCCTTTTGGATATGATCAAATGCTACGAAATGATCATTCTCCAGGTCCTGCTTGCCGAGGCTGCTGCGGTAGGATTCCCTTTGCGTTTAGCGTGGATGCTGTGTTGTCTGTACCAGCAGCCTCGGCAAATTTCAACTAGGTGCTCTTTAAACTTGCCTTTCTTCTCGTGGCAAGGAGTACTTGCCGGCTGCTGTCATGCGACGACGCTTCTGCAGGTGATCATGCTTAGGCCTCTGAATAAGCTCAAGAAGGAATTCGAGTTCATTCATAATTCCGCGAGGTCTCATGGACGACGTCTCGCTCAAGTGGGTTGGCGCGGACCCGCGGCAGGCATCGAGTATCTTCTCTGCTGTGCAGGCTTTTACTAGGTTTGTTAGGCCATTGGGGTTCATTTTGCACGTTGGCAAGTCAGGATACCTAGCCACTTCTAGGGAGGCGTCGCGGGCCTTGAAGAAAGTGGCTATGCTGACCAGGCTGAAGCGTTTCAAACATGCCCGAAACCTCGGCCACGACACCTTCGGAGGAGGCGTGGCGCACAGAGCTCTAGAGAGGAAGAGACTCCGGGGGATTTGGGGTCGTCGGGGCCGCCTGCGGGCTTTGAGGAGGGTTGGGGGTGTTAAGGTTAGAGCTCTGTGGCGTACTGGGCTCATGCCCGCTGGCAGCCATGGCGCCGGCGTTGTAGGTGTAACGGATACTACCCTCAATTCTCTTCGGTCCTACGCTGGGGAGCTGGCGGGGGCGAAGGGCGGCCTCTCCTCATTGACGGCCTTCCTTGCCACCCAGAAGGATCAGTTTTACGATCCGATTTTAGATGCCACATGTCCGCTTGTAGGGCGATATTGTGCGTGCGTCTGGGATGGCCTCACGCAGCCCAGTCTTCTTTTTAAAGCTTGGTCCGCTATCAACTATCAAAGAAAAAGCGAACAAGTCGGCGAGCTGGAAGATTTGTTTCGGACCCATTTCGGCAATTTTACTGTCTCTTCGCCGGGTCGGGTGGGACATGGCGTCGCCCCACGTATTGCTTTCGGACACCGGCGAAGCTATCTCTTTGTATCAGACGTCTCCCAGCTAGGTCCGTGGACTACTCAGGGAGGGCATTGCGCGATGGCAGTGGCGCCGTGTACTCTGCCATCTCCCCGAGGCCACGGGCTCCGAGGTGGTCTGGGGCAGGGCCGCGCGAATTGGGCTGCTTGCTCAGCCGCCAGGGGCTAGGCAAGGATCCGTCCGTGCACTATGGTCTGGAGCCCTCTGGCCGCCGGCGCGTAAATTTGACGCGGGTCTGGCGCCTTCGGCTACATGTTCTTTCTGCCCGTGTGAGCGTGGCACGATGGGGCATCAGCTGTATGACTGTTCGGCGGCATTCGAATCTGACGAAGACTTGGACCCTAGTGCGGGCTTCCCGGAAGATATCTGGACGCACCGCATGGCCGTGAGAGCCGAAACGGGGGATTGGGACGAGTTTGGGGCTATCTATGGCCTGCCGTCTATCCCTATTGACATCCCTCTCTCTCCTCCCTTTCCTCCTATCTGCACGTGGGGTGATTCCGACGGCGAGTGGGGGCGCGTGCTCTTCACCGACGCTTCGGGCCAATTCAGCAGTGTCCCAGAGGCCACCCGATGTGGTTGGAGTGTTGTTGACTTGTCGGAGGAAGGGTGGCCTCTGAGAGCCAGATTTGGGGCCCTGCCAGGTCGGTTTCAGACCGTCCCGCGCGGAGAGAGGTGGGCGGGCCTCGAAGCTGTGCGTATAGCGCCGGCTCCCGTCCATATTATCAGCGACCACCTGTCGTTTGTCAGGGAAGGTACTTCTTTGGACCCTTCCCTCGGACAGGGTTTGTCGCCCCATGCTTCTATTTGGCGGAAGTTTTTCAATTTGGGGCTGGGGGAGCAGGAGCGCCCGAGCTTCGAGTGGACCCCTGCCCACCGTACTCTGGACCAGCTGATCGCTGACCGGGCTCCGCATTCCGAGATTTGGAGATTCCTGGGGAACGCTTGGGCCGACTTCTTTGCCAAGCTGGGAGCCCAGGAGTATGAGGTGGCGAAGGTTGCGGTAGCCTCCTTGGAAGCCACCATCTCCAACACGAAGCTCTCATGTGATTTTTTAGGCCGGGCCGTACAAATGATCTGTGCTCGGCCTGAGGTCTCCGCTCCGTGCGGGGACCGACCAGCTCCGAGCGCTCCAGCAGCGCCCGTGGTCCCAGCGTTGGTAGTGATTGCGCACGACCCTGTGGCTATGGGTCGGGCAGGCCATGTGCAGTGCCGCAGGTGCCTAGCTATAGCTCGCACCAGCGCGTCCAAGAAATGCCTTTTGAAGCCTGGCGCAATTTGTTCGCCCTCCCCCATGCTTGCCCAGCTTGCCGAAGCTGTCGAGCGCATGGGGTGGAGAGACAAGGAGGAGGAGGAGCGTTGTCGTCTCGAAGGGGTGGCGGCGGAGGTGGACGGTCACAAAGTATTTGTTTCTGGTCCTTTCTTCTACTGCCGCCGATGCGGTGCCCGTGCGGCGGTCGGTTCGGCGAAGTCGGATGCCCTCTCCTCTGGTTGTCCCGACAACCCGCCCAATGCCGCTCGGCGCAAGGCCCGCGACAATCTCGCGGACGGCAGGGATCCGGTCTCCGGAGTCCCCTTTTCCAGGGCATTTTAACTCGTTGAGTTTTTATTGTGTGTCGCGTGACGTTTGACGTCTTTACTCGCACGCGGCCGTCCATGTCTTTGTTGCAGGCATGCTCTCGGCTTGCTGATTGCACGTCCTCGGCCATGCTCCCATGCTCCTCCTTCTCCTCCTCCTCCTCCTCCTCCTCCTCCTCCTACTCCTCCTCCTCCTCCTCCTCCTCCCGTCTCCTCCTCCTCCTCCTCCTCCTCCTCTTCCTCCTCCTCCTCCTCCTCCTCCTCCTCCTCCCTGCCAGAGGCCACCAGGACCAGTGATCCCAGCCACCCCCAGTAGTGCAGGAACGCAAGAGCGATGGCAGAGAACAGCAACCTTGGGGCTGGTCCCCAAACGAAGTAAGAGCGAAAGGAAGAGTGGCAGTGCAACGTGTGCAATCCTTGGGTTGCTACCCTTGCTACCCTTGTTGCTACCCCTCCTCTTCGCCCTACTCCGATTCCTCCTCCATCCTCCCCCTCTTGGGGCATGACGTCTTACCCAACCCTGTATTTCGCTACATGGTTCTCCACATCCCTGATCAAGGCAACTCGTCTGGGCGCCGTGTCTGGATGGACTGGTTGGGTTACACGAAGCGTCTCAAATTCTAACGGCGAGCTTTCCCTTGAGGTCTCTCAGGCCTCCTCTGGGGTTTTCCACTTTGCCTGATGTGATGTGTGCGCGCACTGACTGCCATACCACCGCTCACCACCACCTCCTCCTCCGCTCCTGCTGATGCTGTTCGTCCTCGTCCTCATCCTTCCTCCTCCTCCTCCGTTTCCTCCTGCTCATCCGCCACCTCCTGCTCCAACGTTCGCAGCTCTCCATTTCCGACTGCACATAACACGAATGGGTACGGGCACTTTATTAACATTCCAAGTGCTCTATGACACGCGCCCGCGGATAGACAAGGAATCGGCGCAAGGGCAAAGGCCGGCGGGTGGCAGGGGCAGGATGCCAGGTATGGCGCCACCGCGCCCAGCTTCGCCTCCTCCCCCTCGCCCTCGCCGCTCGTGTCTACTCATCCCTCCTGGCCCCCCCCCCCCCGCCCCTCGCCCTCCGCGAGCCCCGTGCCCAGCCACCTCCTCCGGCCGGGGGGCGCCCGCGCACCCCCCCGGGGTGCCCTCCCGGGGAGGCCGACGCCGCTCCCCGGCCTCCGGCGGGGGCCCCCGGCGGGGGGTGCCGGGTCGGCCCGCCGCGCCGGGGCCGTCCCCGCTCCCCCCCCCCCCCTGCTGCATTTGGTCCACGCTCCCGCGTGCGGGGTGGCGGGTTTCTGCTCGGGCGCGGCCCCTTCTGGCCTCGGGCCCGTGGAGCCTGCGCCCGCCAGCTCCTCGGAGCAGGAACGTCCAGGCACCCCCAGGGGGCCTCGAGGAGCCTCCGCGGATCCGCGGCCCCTCGCCCCCCGTCGTGGTGGTGGTCCGCCTCCGACTCGGTCGGATCAAAAGTGCTCGCATGTCAACCCAGCCCCTGAAATGCCATCCTGTCTGCCGCGCAGTGCTCTTCCACTTGGTTGTCGGACCTGAACTTCATGGCTTCGACGCGGGCGTGCTGGCGCAGCAGCTGCCTAGGGCACGGCGACCCCGCTCTTCGCCTCGTCCACTTCTCCCCCTCCTCCCTCCTCCCCTCCTCGCTTCCCACTCCTTCCCCTTCCCTCTCCCCTCCCTCATTGATACACTCCGCCTCCTTCCTGCGCGTCCGTTTCTTCCTCTGTCAGGCACGCCTCGAAGCTGGACTGTTGACCCAAGTCCTAGCAAGGATGGTCCTAGCTGACTTGCCCAGCTTCTTCCGCGCGCCTGCGCCCCCCCAGGCGATCGTACGGGCACGCAGCCGCGGAGGCCCCACTACTGGGATGACCGTGGGGGGTTCTAAATGGATAGGGGGGTTACAAGTGGATGCCCAGGTGGGTTATATCTGGCCCAACCTGGCTTATAAGTGGGTTACAAGTGCCCTGAGTAGCTTAGGGGGGGTAACGATCTGGGCTAGGTGGGCTCCGCCCGCTTAGCCGAGTTATCGATCCCTCCTAAGCTACTTAGGGCACTTGTAACCCACTTATAAGCCAGGTTGGGCCAGATATAACCCAACTTGGCATCCACTTGTAACCGCCCTATCCATTTAGAACCCCCCACGGTCATCCCAGTACAACCCGCAACGAGCACCTCCTCTCCCTCCACCTCCTCCCCCCTCCTCCCCCCCCTCCCCTCCTCGTTCCTCGACCCTGACCCCCCCCCACACCGTGGCGTCCGGAGGCCCCCGGGCGGAGCTCTGCCCCCGCCCCCCCGCCCCTCTCCCACCGCGATTCTGCCTCCGCCCGCTCGAGAAGGGGCCCGCCCCGCGCCCTCCCCGGGCCGTGCTGGCAGGAATCGCAGAAGCTCGAGTGAGCAGCCGCAGCAATCTGGGAGGAGGAAGAGCAGGACAGGACAGGAGGGGGAGGAGGAGGAGAAGGAGGAGGAGGAGGAGGAGGAGGAGGAGGAGGAGGAGGAGGAGGAAGAGGAGGAGGAGGAAGAGGAGGAGGAGGGGGAGGAGGAGGGGGAGGAGAAGGAGGAGGAGGAGGAGGAGGAGGAGGAGGAGGCGGAGGAGGAGGAGGCGGCGGAGGAGGAGGAGAAGGACAAGCGCGCTGGGAAGGGAAAAGGGGGGGGGGCTGGGACAGAAGCTCACTGCAGAGCCCTGCGGCTGCGCGCACGGGTCGAGCACCCCGCCCCCCCCGCAACTCTCCGCGCAGAGGGGCACCGATCAGGGAGGGAGCCGTAGTGGTCGACTCGAAATCTGGTGCGTTGGCGGCTGCGTGGCCGTGGAGTGCCATGTTGGATGAGGCCGAGGAGGAGCTGCTCCGAAGTACCCCTGGCGCCTCCGCGCCGCGTTTGTTCCTGAAAGTTAACGCCTCCCTGTCCGAGTCTGAAGTCGAACGACGGGCGAACGCGCTGGCGAAAAGCGAACGACTGGCGGGAAGAGCAGTGGTGGTCGCTGTGAGCGGCTCGTCTGCGTATCTGTCTACGCGTGTCAAGCTGCCTGCTTTATACTGGCTGATTGCTCTATCGCTGGTGCTGCTGCCGAGCCTCCGCCCATTCATTATCCCCATTCCGCCTTCCAGTGACACCCTCTCTGTGGATCGATGACATCTAAAATTGCTGCGCGAGTGCCCCCAAAGCCGCAAAGATGGCCCCAGGAAAGCACCAACTTCTTTGAGTCGCCATAATTATGCTTCTCGATCTTCCAACACGCCTGGGTAGAGTGTCTGGGTAGGGTGCTGGGGATATGCGATGCGTCAAGAATACATACGCAGACTTCTGCTCACTCTGCGCCAGATTGTCCTTTTTTCGCATCTGACTTCCCCTCCACTCAACCGCCTCATCCTCCTCTCAAGGCCAGCACTCTCTCCCGCCGCCTGCTGATCTGGCCCGACGAAGCTGTCCACAGCAGGGCCTTCAAGGCTTCTGGACCTCGCAGAGCTGACTCCTCGGCAGGCAGGAATGGTGGAATCCCAGAAAGCCAGAATAATGGATGTGGAAGAGGGTGAGATGAGGCGACGGTGGGGGTCCAAGTGAAGGGGCTACACGAACCAACGCAAACGGGAACAGACTGGGCAGACAATGTTCTACTGCACCCTCCCAGAGAAGCATACCAGCTTAGTTCATGCCAAGCGCGTTACTATCATTTGTCGAGCTTGCTGGTTAGGATGCTGACATAATGAGCTCGACAAGTAATGTGTGCTTCATGTGATGGCGTTTTTTGTTGACTCCGCCACAGTGCTTTCAGCACGTAGCTGAGTGTCCCAAGGCTCATACAATGTTATTTGTTGGGGGGCCGTCGGGTTCCTCGGGACCCAAGCCTTGAATTTGCCAGCAATCCTGGGCGCTCCTGGGCGTTTCCGGCGTTTGTCGCGTGGGCCACTGGGAGGCCAAACCCACCCAGATCGACTCCAACACTCCCTCAGGCTCGGGCACTCTTGGTAAACTCAAAGCATCATCCTGGAACTCGCTTTGGGGCCTCTCTCAGGCCGTCTTGGAGCTAGCCCGAAAAGCCACCATGAGCGAACACCAACTCACTGTTTTGTTAATGTCGCACACTCCGCTTTTTATTCATATGTGTGTATATATATATACACACATATAAGCGCTGCCAGGACGACCATACAGCCGCCTACAGCATGCCTAAGATGGCTTCCAAGGCCCTGGAAGAGGCCCGGGAGAATCGCAAGAGGCCCTCAGGAGGGGGCCCACGTGAGGAACTGCGATGTGTAGCCCTCCATCCAGGATGCCCCCGAGACAGCCAGCCAGCCTTCAAGAAGCCCCCCAAAGGCCCCCCATAGACTCACAAGAAGGTCCCAGGAGGCTCCAAAAAGGCCTCCAACAAACGCCAAGAGGCCTCTTGTTCACGGCGCGGTGGCGGAATGGGCCGAAGGCCACTATAGACATTGTTCAAGTCTTCTCCGTAGTAGAGCGTAGAGCAACATTTCTGTTGCTGTTTTGCCTTCCCGTCGCAAGCCGATCTTCCAACTTCTGATCTTGACGGAACGGGGACAAAGACGGCAATGCCCTCCAAAACGCTTCGCTAGCACAGACCTGCAAACGGTAATCACCATAACCACGTGACGACCGCGTTACCAAGCCGGCCCAGAAGTTCACTGGGCCACAGTCTCGGCATTGACTCCCAGGCACTGGAGCAAGCAGCGAGCTGAAGCCAGAGGAGTCACGGTGGACAGGCCAGAGCAAAGATAGCCCGAGGAGGCACAGTGGCACAGAGGCAGCTGCAGGACACCTTAGGCGAAGCTGGGCTGAAGGACTTCCGCGGAGAGCAGTCGAAGTTCGAGCATTCGGCTCCCATGTTCGGGACCTCGTGGACGCCGCGATCAGGGAGCAGGAACCGATCACGGTTGAGCGCATTGGTGGAGGAGCGCCGCGATCACGGTGGCATCCGCTACTTGCTGGCTGGCGAGACGCCAGGAAAACCGCGCGGCATCGCGCGCCTGATGGCATGCGGTATGCGGCGACTCTACACGGCGTGCAGGACGGGGCTCGCGGAGGATACCTCGCAGGTGCCGTGACAGTAATGCTGGGAGAACGCCGCGGGACCACACGAGGGCGGCAAAGGAGGAGGAGGAGGAGGAGGAGGAGGAGGAGGAGGAGGAGGAGGCGGAGGAGGCACGCGGCGACGCGTCGAGTCAGGATGACGCAAGCGACGCTGGGCCCGCTGGGCCGGCGCCGATCGAGACCGGCGCGGTCGGCAAGGGCACGGCAGGAGGGCACGGCGGCAGGGCCCCGAAGGGAGGCGGCCCAGCACGCAGAGCGGCAGTGGCAGCGCGTGCCACGAGCCAGGCCACGGCGTGAAGGTGCGCCGCTGGAGACTGTGCAGGGGCAAGGGCGAGCGCATTTGTTGATTTCTGCAATCCAATACTGTTTATGGTGAGCTTTAATCACGCTGCGTTCGCTGGTAAGAGTTTTAGGGATGTAGCTGCAATATCTCTATTGATGCACTTTGAGGGACCTCAACCATAAAAAAAAACACTCTCCAAGGACGGCGGCGTCGGCGCCAAAGGCAAGTCGATGCAGACAGGGACGCCTGGCCTGGCGGCAAGGTTCCCGGAGACGCAACTCGGACACGACTCCGCCTGTCCACGAGGTCGTCGAGTGCAGGAAGACCTCGACGGCCGACATGGAGAGGTCTAGAAGGAGGTGAAGGACAAGGCAAACGATCGAAGTTGATGATCGGCGTGGTGACAACGGCTGCAGCTGGTGATCATCTGCGGCCACTGGAGGCCAACTGAGGCCAATATTGAGGTCGAGAGAGTCATGGGCGCCAAGGGGGCCACGCCCGAGATGCGTGTGAAGGCGAAGACTGCCACGACGTCCGAGGTGGCCGAGGCCCTGAGCGTGTCAGCGAGGAGCGAGGCGGGCCAGTCGCGGTGTACCTCTGGGCATGGCATGGCATAGCACGGATGCGCTTCCAGGTCGTGCCAGAGTGGCTGCAATGATGAGGTTGGAGAAGCTACGGCAGGTTCGTGTCTTGCCAACTCCGGCGCTGGTTCCTGACACCGCGGGTTTCGTTGAACCTTGAACGATCGGCCGCTTCCGAAACGTCAAGTCGTTCATCATCGACCGACTCTGGGTCGCCGGCGGCGTTCAACGTTGAACGCTGGCGGTGGGGTCGCCACTGGCTCGGCTTCCAGAGTCGGATAGGCTCAACAGGAAACCAACATCATACCGTCTTGGATTCCTGCTGCAAGCCTGAGCTCCTACACACTAGGAGCACGAGTCGTTGAAGGAACGGATCGGGTCCCTGGCTTCCCTTGAAATCCGCCGACCCTGTCGGCGTGTGGAATGGGTTGTTCTTCTCGTCCGTGCCTCCTTCCCTTTCCCACGTTCTCCGTCTCCTTCTCGTTCGTCTCCTCCTCCTCCTCCTCCTTCTCCTCCTCCTCCTCCTCATCCTCCTCCTTCATCTCTTCCTCCTCCTCCTCCTCCTCCTCCTCCTCCTCCTTCATCTCTTCCTCCTGCGTAAAGTGAATTGACTCGAAGGCTTTCCCCTTCCCTTTGTGCCCTTCCCCGGCCCGGGGGGGGGGGGCTCGGGGGACCCGGGGGATACCGGGGGGGGTGTCCCGGGGGGGGTCCCGGGTCAAAATACCACCTGCCTCCTCCTGTGGGTCCCGGGGGAAGCCCAGGGGGGTCCTGGGGGGGGTCCCCGGGGGGTCCTGGGGGGGTCCTGGGGGGATACCACCTCCTCCTCCTCCTCCTCCTCCTGAGCGTCTTTGCCACCTTCTCCATCTCCTCTTCGTTTGTCTCCCCCTCCTCCTTCTCCTCCTCCTCCTCCTCTCTCTCGTCCTCCTCCTCTCCTCCTCCTCCTCCCTCCTCCTCCTCCTCCCTCCTCCTCCTCCTCTCCTCCTCCTCCCCCTCCCCCTCCCCCTCCTCCATCTCGTCTCCTCCTCCTCCTCCTCCTCCTCACACAACCTCCTCCACACCTCCTCCTCTCCTCCTCCTCCTCTCCTCCTCCTCCTCCTCACACACCTCCTCCTCCTCACCACCTTCCTCCTCCCTCCTTCTCCTCCTCCTCCTCCTCCTCCTCCTCCTCCTCCTCCTACTCCTCACACACACTTCCTCCGCCTACCCTGGCACGTTGTCTTTAAGCTCCTTCCTGTGATCACACATCCCGTCGCCATCGACGGCCAAAACCTTCAGGGTCGGCGGCACCGGCCGTAAGGTCTTCACAATAAATGTTAGGTCGGGCGTGTCCCTCTACAGGGGGATTTTTGGCGAACCATTTTAAACATACGCAAGAAAACGAAAAGTATTCAACAATGGTAACAAATCGTCCCCAGACTATTTTTTGACTATTTTTGAATATTCCTCCTGTAGAGGGACGGGCCCGACTTAAAACAAATGTTGCTTCTGGACTGCCTCTCCGCCCCCGAACGTCTAAGACGGCCCAAGAAGTCCTCCAGAGGGACCCGAGATGATCCACAAGCCGGCAAGACGGCCCAAGATTTAGCTCGGGCCTGTGCCCCTACAGGGGGTTTTGGACGAACAAATAAGAAATACCCCTCTAAATGGTTCCCAGACTTTTTTTTTGTTTGTGAACATTCCTCCTGTAGAGGGACAGGCCCGACTTAACCCAAGACGGTCCCACCCAAACTGAGCCAACGTGAGCGTTTTTTATTCGGCGTTTCGACAGTGGGCGGGAAGGGGGGGAGGGGGGGTTCTGGCTCTGGACCTCTGCTTAGTGCGACTGTTTGCAGCAGTGCGGCCGATGGAGGAGGGACCCCACCTGCTCGAAACAGGCGCCAAAAAAACACAGCCAAGTCTACTTCTGGGGGGGTGGAGGTGGGGTTTGGGGGCCCGTGCCGATCGGCAAAACTCGGCGGTGGACAAACCTCCCGTTAGTAGACCTCCCCTTAGTGACAACGGCCTGGGACCGAAACCGACGGACCCGGACCCGCAAAAATGACGGCCGCGACGCCCGATCGCGAACCGAAAGCGGCCAATTCCTTAATCGACGTGTCAGGGTAGGAAGTCTGTCCACCCCCGAAAAACAATGTATCAGCAAACACGCTCACAACATGGCCCAGAGGAGGCACCCAGAAGGGGCTCCACCGCGCCCCGAGTGGCCTGGGAGGGGGCCCCAGGGTGCCTCCGCGCCCAGGGTGACCCAGTGCAATGGGGGCGTTGACCTGAGAAACCCTAAATAAGGAACGAGGCCCCTTTTTTTCCATACGTTCTACTTCTGTTCCCATGGCAAACCAGGGGAAAACCGGTGGCAAGCGGTACAACAATCAAGGAACACCGAGCCCCTCCCCAACGAAAAAGGTTCCTTCTTCAGCGCCCCGACGGTAGGGACCCAGGAGGGCACCCTGACAGCCCCAGAAGGCCCCTGAAATGCCCCCCGTCTCTCCAGACATTCGGCGGCTCAGGACTGCTCGCGGCAGATGTGTATGAGTTTCGTCAAGGCGTCCGCAGGCGGCCTCCCGCGACAGACGGCTCGGGGTGGAGTGCCGGTCCCGTGGAAGGGAGCTCCGAGGGCCGTTGACCCGGAAGAACCTGGCATGTCGGGCTGGGCTCCATCCATCTCCGTACCAGCCCTTCGAACCAGCGCCCATTGCCGCGACCCCGTGGCCGCGACCCGGTGCCAGGGTGGCCCTCTGGGCCGCCGTGATCCGGATCGGTTGACTCGGCCGAGGATCGACGGATCAGGCTCGACCGATCCGTTCGTCCTACTGTCGACGGATCAAGATCGGAATCGATCGATCAATGGATGTCAGATAATCAATTTCATTCTGTCGAATAACAGATTAAGGCTTCCTGTGGCGACCATCGGGAGAATGGCCCAGTGGACCTGGTCCCCCGTGCTGCCCTGGTCGCTTGGGTACTCGTTGACTGCCATCGTCGTGCTCAGCGCGGCGCCGCCCCCCCGTCCCCGGGTCGGCTGCTGGTGTGGCATATCCCAGTGGCCATCCCAGTAGCCTTAGAGAATTCTCGTGCGGAGAGGCGTGATGCAAAGAAGGAGGAGGAGGAGGAGGAGGAGGAGGAAAAGGAAGAGGAGGAAAAGGAAGAGGAGGAGGAGGAGGAGGA